CATGAAATGCCTCAGCCATAAATGCGGGACCATTATTCGAAAGAATCTACTCTGGACAAGAATGCTGAAACACCACTCAATTGAGGAGGAAGTATCTAATAGTAGTTGTAGAGGCGCTAGCAAGAGCACCAACTTCCACCCAACGAGTCAAATAGTTAGAAGAAATAATAACATACTCATTGCCAACAGTCAACAGTGGAAAAAGTCCCATAAGATCAAACGCCACTAACTCAAATGGATGGGAAACTGCAATTGACTCCAACCGTCCTTCCGCAACTCGAGAGGGAGTATTACGAGCTTGGCACCAAACGCAGCTATGCACGTACCGGATAATATCACGTCGCATCTTCGGCCAATAGAAAGACTTATGCAGCTTCTTGATTACACAACGATGTCCTATATGCCCACCTAGAACAGGAGAATCATGGTAAGCATGGAGAAATCGTGGAATAAAGATAGAAGGCACCACCAGCCGTAAATGATCATCAAGATCCGTTCCCACAAAATAAAGAAGGCCATCTTCAAGGCGATATTGAGAATGTAAATGCCAAAAAGGCAAGTCATCAGCAAGTGATGCAGGATTCTCAAACCCATCTTGAAGCCTTCGAATCCATGGCTCAAGCTTTTGAGCCTCGCGAACCTCATCAAGCGAAGGTAGATCTTGCTCTGCACCTTGTGGACATTGAACATCAAGTATAGCAACTGCCGACAGCACAGAATCCTCGTCTAGAAAATCCATAGATGCTGGAACGACAGGCTGGTCAGAAACATGAGAAGAAAGTGGAGAAGGAAGAGGAGCTCGAGAAAGGGCATCAACATTAGCCATAGAACTCCCTGGGCGATGAACAACATCAAAATCATATATCTGAAGCTTCAAAGCCCACTAAGTAGTACGACCAACTAGGTTCTTCTGCTTCAATAATGAAGTAACAGCAGCATGGTCACCTTCAAGTAACATCTGAGAACCATATAGATATGCATGAAGTTTCTCGAAACCCCAGACTGCTGCTAAACACTCCTTCTCTGTCGTGGAGTAGTTCATCTCCGCTGGTTGTAATGTACGGCTTATATATGCAATGGGATGGCGCTGACTAAGCACACTTGAGCTCTCTTGCATTAACACACCTCTAAGACCAATGTCAGAAGCATCCACATGCAAAATAAAAGGTCGAGTGTAGTTAGGATATGCCAAAACCGGAGGAGTTGTCAATAACTCTTTGAGATCCCCGAACACCTGCTCACAATCCGAAGACCAAATGAAAGATGACGTTGATGACTTCAGCAATGCTCGCAACGGTGCAATGCAATCATAAAGCTAATCCACAAAACGCCCGAGATACTGCACCTTGCTCAAGAAGCACTGCACATCATTCACACACTTTGGAGTAGGGAACTTTAGAATAACCATAAGTTTGTCAGGATCAACTTGCAAACCCTCACAAGAAATATATACCCAAGATAAGTTGTGTCCTTGGATCCAAACATGCACTTCGACCACTTCAGCTTTAAACCAACGTCGCGTAACTGATTCAACACTTTACAAACATCACCAACGTGCTCTTCCCACGTCCCCTCCGAGTGGATCAAGACATCATCAATGAAGTCAGTAGTCATCTTCGGCATATCGCAAAGAACCTCGTCCATCATCCATTGAAAAGTTACTGGAGCATTGTTCAAACTAAATGGCACACCAAGAACTCGTACAAACCAAATGGTGTACGAAAAGCAATCTTAAGAATATCTTCTTTGGCCATCGGTACTTGCCAGTACCCAAAAGCAAGATCTAGCTTGGTGAACCAATGACTTCGCACCAGACGATCTAAGAGATCAGTAGTGTGAGGAAGAGGGTACACATCTGGGATCGTTACGTCGTTTAACGGACAATAGTCGATACAGAAACGAATACTCCCATCAGGCTTCGTCACAAGATAAGGTTCACATGCCCAAGGACTTCGCGACTTCCAAATAACACTTTTCTCCAACATCTCCTTGACATTTGTATGTAAAATCTTGATCTCCTTTGGTGACTGACAATGAATAGGAACCTTGATTGGACGAGCATCCCTAGTTGGAATCGGACGATGTGTGGCAATCTTGGCTCCAGACGATAGGTCAAATTCAAAGAGATCAGAATACTTCTTCATGAGCTGGTCAACTGTTGCAACACAAAGATTGTCGGAGGGATCGAAAAAGGGAAGAGCATAAGATGATGGAAACATAGGAGGAAATAGTGGGGGAACAAAAGTAATGGAAGCAGAGGTAGAAGTAGAGGGATGAAGAGGTACGGAAGTGAGAGGAATGGATGAAATATAAGGAAGTATGAGACAAGGGGGAGAAGCCTCAAAGTCACATTTAGCATGATTGTGCTGCAACCAATCCATACCAAAAATGAGGTCAAAAGCTTAACTTGGCACCACCCGCAAAACTGCAACTCAAGCTCAAGATCGCCACACGCACAACCAGGTCTACCTCATCCTATGCACATGCATGTGTACGGCCATTGCCATAAAGAATGAAAACTGGTTCCGCCGCACGACACAAGTGTAGACAACAACGTGTGGCAACAGGTTGAGCAATAAAAGATAAACTCGAACCTATATCAACCAACATGGAGAGAATAATAGGAGACCTCTTGTTATAAAGACGAGCTTGGAAAGTAAACACTGGATGAACTGGTGCCGAGTGAACCCCTTGATGATACTCCCGAAAGAAAGATGGAGGGGTCACTAACTTATTCGTGCAAGGTCCCTCCATTACTCGAGCAACTCCTCGTTTCCCAGATGCATCTTGGTGTCCAAACCTTCCACTGCAGCAGCACCAATGGGACGTTGCTGACGCCAAGGTCTCCACCTAGGAAATGGAGGTTGCCAATCTAGAAAACGTCGACAACACTGATAAGTATGACCAACTTCATCACATGCCCAACAGCGAACATCATGGCCACGACCACGTCCTCGCCCTTGGCCTTGGACTCGAGCAGCAGCAGCATCAACCTCCATTGGAATAGGACTATCACCCATAGGAAGTGGAGCTGAAGGACGTGCAGTGAGAAGAGGAAGAGGCGACACCTCATAACGTTGTGCCAAGCAAAGAGCATTGTCAAGGGTGGCGGGAGCAAGTGCATGCACAAATCTGACAAGATCTTGATGAAGTGCTAGCCACAACATTCCTAGCTTGATCCGCTCCGATATATTTGGCTCCGCACGAAGCAAAAGACTTCGGAAACGAACACCAAATTGCATCACTAACTCAAATGGCCCTTGGCAAAGATGATGCAATTGTTGGAAGGCATCCTCATAGTCGTCGGCATGTCCGAAAGCACGTTTGAAGATGTTCGGGAGAACACTCCAATCCCCACAAGTGGCTGCGCTCAAACCATTGTACCACTGCAACGCCGTCCCTTGAAGACACGTGGGAAACTCATGCAAACATCAAGCATCATCCCAAGAATGATATGTGGCAATCACTGTGAAGTGATCAAACCAATAGTACACATCATCCCCAGGATTCCTGCGAAAAAACTCCAGCCAAATGCGAGGATTGGCACAAGAGTAGGAGGAGTTGTACCATGTGCCGTGAACACCACCATCAACTGAGTTTGGTTGTTCAATTGCAAACACATAGCATCAAGCAATTGTACTAATTGCTACTATAGAGTCAAAGGAGGAGATTGTTGATCTACCATGAAGATGAACGAAGAAAGAGCAAAAGAAGATAAATGACAAAAAGCTGGAAAGAAATGGTAGATCTAGACAATGCAAAAAGCTAAATCTAAACCAAAATCCTAAAAGGAAAGAACAAAAGAAAAGAAATGGAAAAAGTTAAATTTAGACGATGCAAAAGTTAGATCCAAACCAAAATCCCAAATCCAAGCATTCCTCAGGGACAATCAAAGGTGCCCCTCATCTCCACCAATGTGAGTGCATGATATATATACAGAAATGTGCATATCAATTAGCCCAAAAACCCTAGCTTATATATAAGAGCGAGTGGTCTGGATTGAAACCAATCCGACGGCTACTAAAATCCCATTACACTAATATTAGTATATGGCATTGTAGCCATACACTTGGCCCTCACAACACAAATTATATACAAAATACATATTGGATAATTGTAATTTTTTTTATCATATCAATTTAGGATTTTATAACATTTTTTGTGGTGGCCAAATGTGGGCTATAAAATCCATGGGAAGGAATCCGAATGGCAAAGTTAGGCAAGGAACACTAATGTATTAAATGCTAAACCAACTTTTTTTTCTTTTGCAAGTGAGGAAGGCAAAAAACTTTTCATTCGTGGCACTGCCACAAGCAAAGATTGTGATGTAGGTCTCATGGGAAGTTTGTGGAGATAAACCTAGATGACTTTGTTATTTAAAATCTGAGCTGGTTATTCACTCCAAGATTCAAAGAAAATGAAGTGTAGTAGGCTTGAATTTGATAATAAGAGTTGGGTATAGTGCTTTAGTAGGCTTGACTTTTACTGATTGATGGATGATAACAAAATGTATTAAAATGAATTTGATCAGTTAAAAGAATATTCTGCCAGCTGCATGCCTGCTCCCTCGTTGTTAAATAGGGGCAAACTATTTTGATAAATTACAATAATTCAAAAATGGAAGATATTACTCTTCTTATGTTCGTGATTTGCTCTTCTCTCATACTATTTCCATCTGCAGCTATAGAACTTTGCAATTACACCATTGAGTTTTATGATTTCTCAAGCGGTCCTCGTATCAGATGCAATGAACAGAGTGCTTCAGTCAAGCTCTCAAATCTCAATGGCGACTCTGCCCAAGTCACTGGCTTGAAAGGCTCTTTCTGTGGAGGGAATTCTGCAACAGTCATGGCACCTTGTGACTACTGCATTATCACTATAAATGTCTCCCCTCAAAGAATGGTTCCAGGCTTGGTGACGGTTTTTCGTGAAGGAATGTTGGAAAATGAGTACTTCTTCCGTTTTTCAAGTGAAGTGCTCACTGAGTGTCCCGGTTTTAACGTCGCTAGTAATTTTGCCATTGGCTTCAATCGGGAGTTTTTCCTCTTTCCAACAACATGCATGTACAATTCAAGATCAAATTTCCTGATGTGTCCTGGTTGCTCAGCTTCAGGGACGGTAAATAATTCTTTATCATATCCTTCACAAATCCAAATTAACATTTTTCAACTTTTTTTGGCTTATATTTCAACTTAGTGCTCGTATTCCATCAAGCTGGATGCCCAGACATTGTTCCTATGTGTCACAAGTCAGAAGATTGAGGTGTCAATTTACAACGATTACGATAGAAATGTTGGGCGGGGATCTGGGGAGTCTGCAGCTTTTGTAGCATCTCGCAGTGACTTTCAGCAAGGAATCACTGTCATTGGGCGATGCGTGGATTTTTGTGCAGTTGGGGTTCAGATATATGATACAAGTTGCTCATATCAAGTGAATCAGGTGAATGTTATGGGTTCAAACAACATCTCTCGTACTTTCCAGGTTGGTGAAACCTTAAGCCCGAACCAAGTCATCTTCCTAAGGAACTATGCTTCAGTATACAGAACTCAGTGTGGTCGGCCTAATCCATACCCCATCATGATTGGTGGAACAACTGTACTCGTTCCAAGGGCCTGTGAAACTAACTTTACTGCTACACCAACTAGAATCACATGTCCATGCTAAGGAAACTTAAGCATGGAAATAATAAAAATAATGGGGGCCAGTCCTACGAAGACAGTCAGACCTGAATTTCAGAATAATGTTGAGTATTTAGGTCCTCCTAGTGTGCCATGTGGAGTGGACACATCAGCTAGTTAAGAGTTGTGACCTTTCGTTAATTGCTGAATATACTTATTATAATGCATCAGAGACTTCTTCCAGAATTCCTACATGGTATCAGAGACTGAGTTTTGCTGATATTCAGAGAGCCCTATGGAGAAATAAGATGGTAGTGATCCAGATTGAACCACCAGATGTGGTGGAAAGATGAAAGCATTTAGATGATGCTTTCAGCATGAGGAACAACTCAGATTTTGGCCTAGTGAGTGATTTGAGTTAACAGAGGATCTAGGCAATGGAGGATTCCCTTTTCTGGTAGATTGTTTGCATCCCATGTGCTAGAAGCCAAGAACGAGATGGTGCTGAGATTGCAATTGGTGGCAGGGGAGAAATGCCAGGGCACAGAGTGCTCAGACTGGTCACATGGGGGAATGTCAGCCAAAGGAACAGTGACATCCAATTGGGTAGGAACCCATCAGGCACATATATGCAAAATACATATTGGATAACTATACTTTTTTTATCATATCAATTTGGGATCTTGGAACATTTTTTGTGGTGGCCAAGTGTGGGCTATAAAATCCATTGGGAGGAATCCAAATAACAAAGTTAGGCAAGGAACACTAATGTGTTAAATGCTAAACCAACTTTATTTTCTTTTGCAGGTGAGGAAGGTAGAAAACTTTTTATTTGTGGCATTGCCACATGCAAGGATTGTGATGCAGGTCTTATGGGAAGTTTGTGGAGATAAACCTAGTTGACTTTGTTATTTAAAATCTAAGTTGGTTATTCACTCCAAGATTCAAAGAAAATGAAGTGTAATAGGCTTGAATTTGATAATAGGAGTTGGGTATAATGCTTTAGTAAGCTTGACTTTTACTGATTGATGGATGATAACAAAATGTATTAAAATGAATTTGATCAGTTACGAGAATATTCTGCCAGCTGCATGCCTGCTCCCTCTCTATTAAATAGGGGCAAACTATTTTGGTAAATTACAATAATTCAAAAATGGAGATATTACTTTTCTTCTGTTCATGATTTGCTCTTCTCTCATACTATTTCTATCTGCAGCTGTAAAACTTTGCAATTACACCATTGAGTTTTATGATTTCTCAAGCGGTTTTCGTATCAACTACAATGAACAGAGTGCTTCAGTCAAGCTCTCAAATCTCAATGGCAACTCTGCCCAAGTCACTAGCTTGAAAGGCTATTTCTGTGGAGGGAATTTTGCAACAGTCATGGCACCTTGTGACTACTGCATTGCCACTATAAATGTCTCCCCTCAAAGAATGGTTCCAGGCTTGGTGACGGTTTCTCATGAAGGAATGTTGGAAAAGGAGTACTTCTTCCGTTTTTCAAGTGAAGTGCTCACTGATTGTCCCTGTTTCGACGTCGCTAGTGATTTTGCCATTGGCTTCAATCAGCAATTTTTCCTCTTTCCAACAACATACATGTACAATTCAAGATCAAATTTCCTGATGTGTCCTGGTTGCTTAGCTTCGGGGACAGTAAATAATTCTTTATCATATCCTTCACAAATCCAAATTAATATTTTTCAACTTTTTTTGGCTTATATTTCAACTTAGTGCTCGTATTCCATCAAGCTGGATGCCCAGACATTGTTCCTATGTGTCACAAGTCAGAAGATTGAGGTGTCAATCTACAACAATTACGATAGAAATGTTAGGCGGGGATCTGGGGAGTCTGCAGCTTTTGTAGCATCTCGCAGTGACTTTGAGCAAGGAATCACTGTCATTGGGCGATGCGTGGATTTTTGTGCAGTCGGGGTTCAGATATATGATACAAGTTGCTCATATCAAGTGAATCAAGTGAATGTTATGGGTTCAAACAACATCTCTCGTACTTTCCAGGTTGGTGCAACCTTAAGCCCAAACCAAGGCATCATCCAGAGGAGCTATGCTTCAGTATACAGAACTCAGTGCGGTCAGCCTAATCCGTACCCCATCATAATTGGTGGAACAACTGTACTTGTTCCAAGGGCCTGTGAAACTAACTTTACTGCTACACCAACTAGAATCACATGTCCATGATAAGGAAACTTAAGCATGGAAATAATAAAAATAATGGGTGGCCAGTCCTATGAAGATGGTCAGACCTGAATTTCAGAATAATGTTGAGTATTTAGGTCCTCCTAGTGTGCCATGTGGAGTGGACACATCAGCTAGTTAAGAGTTGTGACCTTTCGTTAATTGCTGAATATACTTATTATAATGCATCAGAGACTTCTTCCAGAATTCCTACATGGTATCAGAGACTTGAGTTTTGCTGATATTCAGAGAGCCCTATGGAGGAATAAGATGGTAGCAATCCAGATGAACCACCAGATGTGGTGGAAAGATGAAAGCATTTAGATGATGTTTTCAGCATGAGGAACAACTCAGATTCTGGCCTGGTGAGTGATTTGAGTTAACAGAGGATCTAGGCAATGGAGGATTCCCTTTTCTGGTAGATTGTTTGCATCCCATGTGCTAGAAGCCGAGAAGGAGATGGTGCTGAGATTGCAATTGGTGGCATGAGAGAAATGCTAGGGCCACAGAGTGCTCAGACTGGTCACATGGGGAAATGTCAGCCAAAGGAACAGTGACATCCAATTGGGTAGGAACCCATCAGGTGCCCTAATAGAAAGAGGGAGAGAGCAGCAATGAGAGATGAATTGCCCACAATCTGCAGAGCATAGATACAATTTCTTGAAAGATGCATGTGATAAGGATTTTCCCAGGCTCATGTCAGATGAGGATTTAGGTCCTCTTATGACATGAGTGTATCATGTGGAATGGACACATCAACAATCATGGTAATTAAGAGTTGTGACATTTCGTTAATTGCTGTATATACTTATTATAATGCAATGATGATCGAACCCATTGTGACCCTTCATCTAAATTTCCAACAAATAAAATGTGTGATGTTATGTTCTATCATTCAAAATGATAAAGCCTATTAAATTTGAATATTCAACTAAAACCAGAGTTAATGAACCAAAATGAAGATAGATTGATTTTTGTTTTTGAAAATAAAACTAAAACCATTGACTTATAAATCTTAAACTATAAACACTTAATTAATCTACTTTTAATTTGTTTAGCTTTTTCAGATTTTTCTTAATTTAAATAAAAACATTTAAGTCTTAAAGCAGCTTTACATTAACCTTCTACCAAGAGGCACAGAAGGTGATGAGATAATCAGACCCTGCAGTGCAAAACAGCGGAACATTAGTATCATCAAACGGGTAAGTCTTTGCCCGAGGACAACACTCCTTGAACAGCAAACTGAACTGATTTGTATGGCATTTATCCGGTCCCAAGAACTCATCCTCGCAGCAAAACTCATCAGCGCCAAACGCTAAGAAAGGACTGTTGCAAGCAACTGGAGTTCCCCTCGAATTCCAAACCAGCAGCTCCGAAGGACACCGCGAATTCAAGTCGCAGCTGCAGCCACCACTGAGGCAAACCGGATTGCTGCTTGAAACTTTCACCGCCAAGTTGTAGCCTTCGACCAGAGAGACGCTGTACTCGTCGATGAAATCGCGATGGAGCTTGAACTCGACTGTGGTAGCCGGGGGCGAATAAGTGCTGTTGCATCCGATTGCATTTGAGCAATCTCCTGTTTCGCAGCAGCCTGTGCCTAGAACTGTGTCAAACTGACAATTGGGGCGCCCCCAGAACTTGCCTGACCATCCCGTCGAAGCATAAACGTCAAAGAGTTGCCATGAGTCTAGCTTTGATCCTCCCTTTCCCAGCTGCGGATGACCGGAGTTTGGTAACCACGCAGGCCAAACGGGGAATGGACATGCGTTCCAGAGACGAATCCTTGTTGCTTCGGTTCCTGGTAACGGAGTGAACACAGAAAACAGAAGCAGGGAGATGCTTACCACTTCCGAAGATCAAAAGCTGAAGAAGCTTGAAGCTTGAAGGCGATTTCATTGCTTCCGTAATGCCTCCTCTTCTGCAAAAGCTTTTGTACCAGGGGAAAGGAAAAGTAAAGCTGCTGATGCTGTCGTTCACTTGTAGCTAGAGTTGTCTCCACGAAACCACAAACACCTGAAACTTCAGTCACAAGCATTACCGTAGTTTAAAGGCTTCCGAATGCAAACTCCAGAATCTAAATGGCTTCCTTCCTCCCTCCTTCTACCTTGACTAGCCGCAACGTATTGGCTCCAGTGATCGTTTTCCTGATTCTCACAATCTCTGGTATAGGATTGCTTCAGCGTATGACGGATGATGTCTGGGACTGGAGCTGGGCAAAGGAACTGGATTTTATAGCACGGCCATCCTCTGGCCGGATCCTGGTAACAACCAGAAAGGAAGGCATTTTGTGCAGCCTGGATGCAAAGGCATTTCCTGTGCATGAGCTATCAATGGACGAAAGTAAAAAGATGTTTTGGAAGTTTGCCTTCGGTGTGCATGATCCACAACCCAGTGACCCTGATGTTGTGAGATTTGCCGAGGAAATAGCTCAAAAATGTGAGGGACTTCCTCTAGCTCTGGAAGTGATTGGCAGTGCCATGGCTGTCCACAGAAGTGAAGGGCCACATGTGTGGGAAGAACGATATAAGAGGTTGCACTTGTCCAATGACCCAGACGTTGAGAAGCAGATGTTCAAGCGCTTGAAGTTCAGCTATGACGAGCTGGGAAACTATGAGGGTGAAAAGCTGCAAGAGTGCTTTCTCTATGTGGCCGCATTCCCAGAAGACAAGAAGATTGAGTTTTCTGAGTTGAGGAAATGTTGGATGGAGGTTGGGTCAGAACTCTCACCCACACCGATTGTCAATGAACTGGAACGGAGATGTCTGGTCAAATAGATAAGTCTTGGAGGGATGACGAATTTATAATCGTACACGATATGCTACGCAAACTGTGCATAAGAATCTTAAAAGGGAAGTACGGTCCACAGCAAGAGCACGAGAAGGGATGCCTGTTTGGATATGACTGGACAATTGGCATTCAGGATGCAACATTTGCTAAAGTCTCATTCATCTCAAAGAATGTTAGCAGCTATTTATCCGATAATCATGTGCGAGATGTCTTACTTTTGGATAAATGTGAAGGAGTTTCTAATGTGGATGACAGTCTTATCAAACGCATAGAAGGTGTCAAGGTACTGAGCTTGCGGGAATATGCTATGAGATCCATTTTATTCCAGAGAGCATTTCCAAGCTGAAAAATCTTCAAGTGCTTGACATTCGAGGAACAGATGTGAGTGAATTACCAGATGCGCTTTTCAGCCTGACATCGCTGAAATTTCTAAAATGTGATTCATGCACGCAGTTTAACATTGCATTACTCCCCCAGCTCTCCAACTTGGAAGAGCTGGAGCTCGACGTTGATCCAAACGAGGACTCATCAGTTGTGGATTGGACTAGAATTTCGCGTAAACTAAGACATTTAAATCTAGAAATGAGACAGGGTCCAATGAAGGTGCCAGAAAGCATGGGGACACTGGAGCACATTGAAACATTGTATTTATGTGCAAAGAGCATCGACTTTGCCAGTGTCGTTGGACGATGGCAACTTATCAACCTAACACCATGTGAAATTTGTGTGGAGTACATCAGTAGAGCTCCCTTGAAGCGAATGTTTAAGAACTCAATCAGGCTTCAACAGTTTTACATCGATGGGGTAGAAGACAGTGAAAATAGTGATGACAGCTTTAAATGGTTGCCCCACCACCTAGAAACACTTGACATTGACTGCGGTGGTATCACTTGTTCAACCTGGATGGATCATTCCCTTGTCTTGGATATCTGCGTCTTACTAATCTACACATTGCACAGTCAGAATTCAAGGATGATTTGGCTGCCAGTCTTCCAAATCTGAAGCAGTTGGACTTTTGGCTAGCTCCTGATATTGAATGGGAACACTCGCCTCTCTTTGTGGCACAGCTCCCCAATCGCCTCGAGAGTCTGAAAATAACGGGTTGCATAAAGAGACTGTTGTTGCCAACAGAGAGGTCATCACTCAAAGGCTCAGATTCTGGTGCACGAAGATGCAAAATGATTTCTTTGAGCCATCAGATCAAATGACTGATATAGAAGATGTGCGCTTTGATGAGACTATCGTTCCATTGTCCATTGCATCGCTGCCAGGTTTGAAACGTCTTACCATTTATGGGCGAAGCGTCATACAGAACGAAGCACTGTGGTTCCACACTCAGAGCCAGGGCGCACTTCCCAGGCTGGAATCGCTAATCTGCCCGGAAGGCATGAAAATTCCACCTTGGCTTGAGGACCGCCCCAATCTCAAGATATAGAAGTTTTAATTTCCAAAGCGTTTTCTGTAGTTTTGACGTCTCACCTTTACGTAGTTCGACATATTTCTACTCTAAATCAATATATACAAAAATGCGACTGCACCGCTACTCTTCCACCAGGAGAGCTTCGCCTCTCACGCCCCTGGCAATCTCTAGCACCTCGGGTTTGCTCCTTGTCAATTCCAATTCTTGTTCAGCTGCTACCTCGGTTTTGCGCACAGCAGCACCACCTTTGCCGGCTCTTATCCTCGCCAGGAAACCTCTCACGAGAGCCTGCATTTTCGTCGCAGCGCCCTGGATGTACACGGCCTGGATCCGCTTCTCACGCTCGATGCGCAGAGTGAGAGGCAACCCCTGCGTTAATTCGAGCCAAACGTAAGTATCAAAAGCTTGGAATAGCAGCTACTTACAGTTGGTCCGATCTTATACAGCGTCAGCGTTTCCAGCAGCTCCTTGAAAGGGATTCCTTTGTTTGGAACTCGAAAACTCATCACCTCGTACTCTATTCTCATCTACCTGAGGAGAACAAAGAAAAAAACGAGTGAGAGACAAAGAGAGATTGACAGGAACCCGCGAAACCATTGGGTCGAGTATTTGTAGCGCCGGCCGAACGGATCCCCGAGGGCGTTTCAAATCGTCGCAGCTTGTGCATGCCAATGTATCCTGTAGCACTGGACGATTGTAAAGTTAGTTCTACAAGGACTTGAACGTTAAGTGGCTTACTTGGGATCGAATCGTTCTTGGCTCCACAAGTTTCTATATGCTAACAGGTGCTCCAGCATGACCATAGAGTTCTCGTTCACAAGGCCGAAGGTTACAGCATCCAGTATGACAGCCACCAACAAGTTCATGAATATGTGACTCCCGACCAAGACCAAGAAGGCAAAGAAGATAATGCCGCCCTCTGGATAGCCACAATCATCGCCGAGTAGTGTTTTACCGTTGGTGCAGGCGGGTGCATCAATTGTGGTATCCATCATAACGCAAGACCAGTTATCAAGAGTTGTAACCTGTACAAGAACAGCGAAACTGAAAGTGATAGAAAAACAAGCCTCAGAGGTGAACTCCTGCTCCGAAATTTGCTGCCATCCGGGAGCAAGATCTGCGAGAGAGGTCCTGCCAGGAGTTCTGCGCTGCCTTGGTATAAGCTCGTATGGCTTGGTCATAATGCACCGCTTTAAAGCCTCCCGCTCCCCTTCCAAGCGACATGATCGATTTTCTGGCAGAGAGAACAGCGACGGAGGGAGAAGCGGTCCTCGTCGGGATCCAATCCACGTCGGGAGAAGCGGTCCTCGATGGTTCCCACTCGATCATCTTTGGAGGCGGCGGCGCTTCCGCAAGATCATCGCGCATGAAATCCTCGTCGCCGTCAATCTGTGCCTCCTGTGGCTGCCTCGCCCTGGAGAAGAGCTCTTGTTTGTTGTCGGCCGCCCATAGAGCCGAGCGGTCTCATCTCGCTCTGGCATCACCGCATACAAACATCGTTCCAATGCTGCGTAGAACAAACGGATCGAGCGCACGCCTTGGTGCAAGCATCCAAATCCGAGACCCCATACACAGTGACGCACAAATTGGGCGTCACATCCTTTTCAAAGCTGCCCACTCGCTTCATCATCGGATCTGACACGCACACGCGCTTGCAAGCGAATCTATCCTGGGAATCCAAATCCTGCTGCTGCTGCTCGCTCTCATCGAGCGATGATCGCCAGCGCCGCCATCTCTCCGCAATGCCAATCACCATTGTTAAAGCTAGAAAGGGGAAAAAGTGAGTGAGGTGGGCATCTTTCTGTCCAACCAATGTAAATCATGCTCGCCACTCTCTTCCCTTGCATCACTAGCACTTGAGGTATATGACACAGCGCCACTCTTGCCGCTCTTCCCGCGCCGCCACAGCCGGATCATCGTGGCGGAGCCTGTGATTCCCTAGCACACGAGCCACTAAGCTATCCACTCGTAGATTAGAAGGATTGTATCGATATACAAGGAAAGAAAGAATATCCACTTGGAGCCAGAGGGTACGGCCTCGATTGTGCCAAACCCGGGAAAGGAGAAGAGCCTCACGTCACATCGCTAGACAACGCTCTTAAAGAATTTTGGAGCACGGCATCAATGGGAGTCGAACCGCGACTGTTGCTAGTCGAACCCCGGATGTTCTCCACGTGCGGTAGGGTTGAAGGATTGTGTGGATGGGGGGGATTGTCGACTGTGGTGTGCCGCGCGGTCATCATCAGCAATGGCGCCGCTGGAGCTGAGCATCAATCCATTGGTTTGGTCCGGGCGCTCGGCCTTGCCAGCAGCTACACCATCTATAAGAGTTCTTTTGCTCGCTGCGCGCGTCTTGTTCCCGGCGCTGGCATCACATCCAAGGGTATTGTGGATTTTTCGGAGCTCCTAGTCTCGATCCGGTTCGTGGCGCGCCCCAAATTTCGCACAGCCGATGCATGACGACGGTGTAGCGGCATCGGGTGTCGATGACCACTATTCCAGGTCTCGCGTTTTCATGTGTGCAAGAGGATTGGACAGAATTGATGAGGAGATAGATCGCTCGCCGGTATGCTCAGCAGGCGCTATGATCCACCGTTACCGGTAAAACATCCTACTGGAACACCGCCAACGCGCAGATCAACAAGGTTATGTATTCTCCTCTACAGGAAGAATGTGCTTCCACCGCTTTGAGTAAGACCAAGATCGGCGCATCGGTGTGGATTTCGTTGGAGCGAATGCGAACAGTGAAGCCGGTGCTTGTTCTCGGGCTTTTTGATACTCTGAAGATCGTGCCAGTAGTATCGAACATGGTACCGCATTGTCGTCCAGGATCTTGCGAATGGTCATCTTTCGTTCCTTTTGCCGCTTCTTCTTCACAGGTGTTAAGAATGGAACCTAGAGTTCGTGGTGTTTCGTACATGAAGGATTACGGCAACGCGAGGTGGATCGAGAAATGAGGATCGATCAGAAGAACACGCTCGTGAGTAGAGTTGGAACGAAGAAGGCCAAGAACGCGGTAAGTTTTCTATTGTTTCTATTGTTTCTTCGTTTTTTTTTCTTACAACTTTTTCTCCAGCTGCAAAGAATGTCGAGAGCTGATTGATCTAAGGACGCGCATTTTGATTCTGGAGGCCATGGAAGGCGAGGACACGACTTACCGATCGCTGCTGCGGGAGCTCCAGGTAAGCCTCGGGTGCTCGCGAAATATTGCCTCTGGAGTTTCTCACGATCGCGGTGGATCGGCCGCGCGTAGAGCATCTGGGAGGAGATGGGGGAGAGCGACGAGGAGAGGGACAGAATGCTGCTCCAGCTGGAGCAAGAATGCCTGGATGTGTACCGGTGGAAGGTGGATCAAGCGAATTGCGTGAGGGCTGGGCTGCACCAGCTGCTGGCGGATTCCGAGTCGGAGCTCGCGTCGCTCCTGTTGCTCCTGGGTGATCGCCCTTGCACGGTATGCTTTGTTTGATCCATCTCACAGTGCTTTTCCAATGCCCGTTGTTCTTCCTCCCAGTTAGAGAAGAGGTCGGGCAATACTCTGCGGGAGCAGCTCTTGTCCGTCTCACCTCAGTTAGAATGCTTGCGTCTGCGGAAAGAGGAGCGGCTGATTTGAGGACGTGCAATGCCAGATACAAAGGCTCTCTCAGGAGATATCGCCAGGGACATTGCAAGAGGCCGAGAATGTATATTATTATATCAGGTATAAATTTATTCTGTTTACATTTCTTGGCTGATGTGTCGTGTGCACAGGGATGGTGGACTTGTCAGAGCTACTTGCTACAATCGAAAGTAGTATCGCGGAGGCGAAGGAAGAATCACTCGGTAGACAAGATATAATGGAAAGAATGGAACGATGGATTAGTGCATGTGAAGAAGAAAGTTGGCTTGAAGAATACAATAAGGTATGAGCGTTACGCTATTTCACTTATTCATTTTCGATTGTAGGATGAAAGCCGCTTCAATGCAACCAGAGGAGCACATTTGAATCTAAAACGTGCAGAAAGAGCTCGTGTCATCGTGGCCAAACTCCCCAGTGCGTTTGAATTCTTTGTTTGCTATTTCCTTTTCTCAGTTTTCACAACCCTTTTGCAGATCTTCTTGAATCATTGAAGTCCAAAACGCGAAAGAGGCAGGCCCTTCTTATATAACGGGGTAAGTAAGTGATTTTCGTAGACGCTTCTGAGAGTGCTTTGCAGATTTCTCTACTGGCAATTCTAGAAGAATATAGCTTGCTACGACGAGAGAAAGAAAAAGAAAAGCGCCGACTGAGGGTAACTCTGCAGTTTAGTGCCTGTTGAGACGTTAACTGGCTAAATGCAGGAGGAGAAGAGAATGCAGGAGCAACTGCAAACTGAGCAGGAGCTGCTCTACGTCCAAAAAGGGACAGGTGGGACTTCGCGTGAGTGGAAACAATGCAAACCGACGACTTTCGATAGTCCCTGAGCTTTTACCCGCACCTAAGGCTAGCAATCAGGGTCCTCAAAAGGGTACCCGGGTGAAACGCTACTCTCCGATGTTATATTACGTTGCCTTGCGTAAGGATCCCGAAGGTTCTTCGATTGGATCAGCTCCGGATTCTCCTGTTGCAGCATGAAGGTCAGGTTTTTGTTAGAATGGACCCTTGCGTGATGTTTTGCCTGTGGTGGCCAGGGCAGTTTTGAAAATTAGGACGATAAGCGGGGTGTAAGTAGAGTTTGTTTCTTGCTATCAAGGCTAATCGAGTATCCTTTTTCCAGTGCTCCGTGTTTTGTGTATTGGGAAAGCGTAGGAGCGTGTGCTATTTGTTCAAAGCTTTCATTGGTGCAAAGCATCGAACTAATTGTTTCGTGTTAAGTTTCATTAAAGGTACATACAAGTCTTGGTTTGCTTACACTTGGAACTTTAAATTCTTCGCGCAGCTTCGGCTGTCGAGAATTGACGCAGACAAGGTTCACACAGGTTATACTCTCAAATGATTGAAAGGATCGCAGGCTTGACATGCTATGTACAAGAGAGCCGAAACAACGCTTTTAAACGGA